CTTTTTGATTATCATTTTATGTATATGACATGACGCCAAGGGCTAAACTTCTTTTGGAATTGCATATATGTCGTGGATGTTAAATCTTGCCTTTAATGAGAATATATGAAAAATCATTCGTTTTAGTATGCTATTTTGCACCGGAGAGTGCATCGTGTATGAAATTCATCCATTAGCATTCATTAACCATGTATGAAGTGTAGCCAAGGGCTAAATGGTATTTTGAAACCATTTCATAATTTTGAGTTCCAAGTTTTCATTCCAAGCTTCATTTTTGTCATTTTGGCCGTCGGGGGGTCGTATTTTGCATCAGTGATATTTTTAAGCCATGGATCATTGTAACACATCCTATTAGGTAAGTTACATTTGTGTACATGATCGTTTTCAAGAAAAACTTCTTCTTTGGTGAAATGAGCCTCTTATGGACTCATTTTGCATCTTTATTGCATAATCTGGTCTAGGGGCATTTTAGGGTTTTCTTTCAGGAAATAAATTTCAGTCTCGACATGGTCACTTAGAAAACATGATTTTAGGGGGACTTTATTCTTCATGTTTTTCCAGAAAATGTCATCTTGGTACCGGAAAACCTTTCTAAAGTTTAGTTTTCAGTTTTACGTTTTAGTAGCTTTTTGACCTTCATGACCTGATTTCATGGAGGGGCATTTTAGGCATTTTACAGCGAGTTTTTTTTCATTTTCTTCTATGTTGTTATATAGAAAACTCGATTTTGAGGGGGGTTTCTTCTTTGTGTTTTTCCAGCAAACATCATCTTGCCCTCAAAAACCCATTTTTTGCCGAAAAATCCCTGCTGCCAGGTCTTTGCTGAGTTGTAGTACAAATGTGCGAACGATAGATTTCTCATAACCGGTTAGATGACTTGGGGTAGTGATGTGGTCGTGATTTTTTGCCTCCTAACCGGTTAGATGTTCTTGGGTTAGCTCCTTTTGACCGTTTTGCCCTTTTTTCTTCCGTTAGCCATATCTTCTTCATCTGGACTCCGAGTGAAGTGATCTTGAGTCTAAGTTTATTAATTTTTTGTTATCTTTCCAATGGTGTACTCAATAGTACCTACTTTCATGTTAGAAATGACCTTTTTACTCCTAGGTTCATTCTTGTCCGTTTTTGAAACGCCGCTTCCGCATTTATTTTCTTTGGATTCCATGACCTTATTGAGTGTCACATTGGTGTCTTAGAGACGCGTTGTATCTCTAGAGACCATTGTTACATCTTTTGTTTCCACATTCTGGATCCGTATCAGGTCATCATAGGACACATTGGGTTGAAAAATCCAGGGTCGTCATAGTGATTAAGCCCTTCCTTATAAGCATGTTTTAGTTTTGTTTAATTTGGGGAATGAAATGTATATATGGTAGTTTCATAATCTAGAGCACTAAACTTGATGTAATTGAGCTTAATCACTATAAATGATTATGTTGAAGCTATTATCTTGTCTTAGATTATAATTTCTCATGATTGTATAGCTTGCATTTTCATAGTGAGAATGGAAATGAGATTGTAAAATAGTTTTTATTGCATGGATATGAGAAGCTTGTTAGTTTATAGCTTAGGGTACCCCTTTGATGGATTTTTCTTGATTCTTGACTCCATATGCTATCACTATAGATATTGAGGGGTTTGATAGTCCCTAGCTTAGTGAACATGTGAAGCTACACTCTAATTTAGGTAGTTCAAGCATGTGGAACTTTGAGGGATTATTCTTGATTCTTGATTCTATGAACTTCTTGAAGATAATGTAGTAATCTTGAATTGCTACGTATCATTGCCATATATCTAATTTGTTTCTCAAGTTAATCACAAGCTAACATGTTCATAGGGTTGGTAGTTGATTCACTTCCCTAGTCCTCTCTACATATTTTCCTCTCCTTTTAATCTCCTTCAATTTTTTATTTTATGCACATTTTAATTCCTAGTTCTAAGTGACAAACAAACCAAAAACTCTACACCTCTTTCATCAAGCAAAGTGATTTTAAAGGCCTTGGTTGCCATAAACTTGCAGCTCTTGTGGTTCGACTTGTCCCTATGATAGCCCTATTTTACAATGATTTGTGCTATTGTAAGGGTTGATTATTATTGGTAGCATATACCGATGCCCACCATATTTATTTTGTATTGATTATGGTTTATCACAAAGTAAATTCAAAGGCCTTCGTGTGTTTTTAAACAAATGGTTTTCTAAATATTTATTTATTTAAATTATTATTTTTGTTAAACAAATGTTTTATTGTGATCAAGGCGGAAATAATCAAAGGTACGAAAATAAATATATTAATTTAGCAGTCAGATTGATGGTTTTATTTATTCAATAACTAATTATGCTTAGAGGGGTCAAAATGCTACATTAATTTAGAGGTTATTTATTATTTAATTGGAGTTCAATTAATTTCTTTTAGTGAAGTAGAAATTAATTTATGAATTAATTAAATTGGTCCATGGTATAATGGATCAGGCCAATTATTAATTCATTGTAGCCAAGAAAATAATAAGCCTAAAGGATTCTCACTCATAGCCCAGCTTGATATTGGAGGCCCATTAGATTTGAGATATTACGTGAATTTTAGAGATTAAGAAAAATATATTGTCTTCAATTATTATTTTTATTTTGCCTATATATACATAGGGTCAATGTATATTTTAGGTTACGCCTTTGTACAATAATTTTTAGAAGACAAGAAAAATTTTCTCTCTCTAAGATTCGACAACCCTACCCGTCACAATCACCCGCCTAGTCAGCAACTAACGAAAATGAAAGAAATCGCGCACAAAGGTGCACCGATTAAAGGAAGGCTTGAGCCAGTAGGGCTCCGAAAGAGTAGGGTTAGTGTTCTCATCTGATGGAGGCTCCCACAAGTTAAGCTTTCTAAGGTCATTTATGGAGGATTATGGGTGATTTATAAAGGTAAGATCATTACCAAAAAGATGGAGATCCAAGGAAGAGGCATCTAGTAAAGAGATCTACAATAAGTGAGAAAATTCACTTTAGAGGAGAGATTTAAGGTTTACTCAAACCTTAATGTAAGTTTTCTATCTCTAATTGAATGGATCATCATGTTCTTCATGCATAAAACTTGTCTCTACACATAAATCAAGATCTTTATTTAAAAATCGCTCTAAAAATTTTTAAAACTTCTGTTTCTCCAACAGACACACGGTACTTTGTCGTATTATGACAGAAATATCTTCCATTGCGTCGGAAGATAACAAGGGATACAATAATTTATTAGTAAAAGCGATGTAATGGGAAAAATCTACCCAAACAAGTTATAGTTGTAGGTTTACTAAGAGAAATGCAATTTCTACTCGTGGTAAAGGTAAAAAAAAAACAAAATACTGAGAACAACAACAACACTGGAAAATTCCTATTGCCCTAAAGTCTAAATATACATGTAAATGAAATTTTAATTAGTGGAAACCAACAATGGAGATAAAGAGTGGAAATAAGAGGAACTCAATGAAAAGAACAGTTCATGTATTTTCTCCCCTTACTGTTTTCCATGGAGTTGCATAAGAAATACCATTTTTGTCCATTAAATTTTGCATATGTAATAAAATGAAATTATGTTGTAGAAATCCAAGGAAACAGTTTCCAGAGAGGCAGGTGGTAATGATAGTCGAACAATCCCTTAGTATTTATTAGTCAATGTCAGTATTGTTGTAACTATATGAATTTTCAGCATTTTGCTTAACATGTTCATTATGTTTAGAAGGAATCTGCTCGTAAAAGGTTTACACCATTTTGTTTGTAGGGTTGTGAAATTCCAGCTGAATATATGAGTGATGAATGTTATGTGCCACCATAATGCAGAACAGACAATTTTTGCAACCGTCTTATAGTTATTTATAACGAGCAATATGCAACATATTACTTGAAAGGCCAACATATTATGAAGGGGACTTAGTACTTCAAGCCCTAGCTAGTAAATTCGTGTATGATGCAAGAATTATACGTGAATGTATTAATTTTGAAAAAATACTCCCGTTTGCTATTCAGAGTTGAAAGATACAATAAAATGCGCGTTTTTTTTCTTTCATCAGCCCGTATGTTATGCTTTTATTCTTTTTAATACGTTTTGGTCACCATCTAATTCATGTTTATACTTTTAGGTAACTTAATTGTTTTTTTCTATTGCTTTACGTTTCTAATGGTATATTTTTCTCAAACACACATTCTTAACACAAACTACCTCTTTTGTTTGGTGTAGCCATTCTCTTTCGTATTAGTTGTGCTATCAAAGCAATAAACTCAGTCGTTCTAGAAGGTTATCACTCCTCTTTTTTTTCTTTTTTTTGTTCTAAATCTATCATAGTTGTCACTCCAATGCAATCTTTTTTCTTTTTTTTTTTGTTTGAAATCTTTTAAATTTTGTTAGTATCTTTATTCATTATTATTATTATTATTTGAAGTTTGTAAATCACCACATTCACCATATGTTTTAGTAGAATATCAAAATATTTTCACAACTTACAAGTATCACACCATATACATATGTATTTATGATTATTGATTAATTATATTTTGAAAGTGTATTTCTTCTATGATTATTGTGATAGTGTCATTTGTAATATATTTATTTTATTATTTGTTACATTATTTTTATTATTCTTACAAATATATGATATATAAGAAATAAAAAGATGTGCATAGCCTATTTTTGGTCTTGAATTTTTAATGCATACAAGGTATTATAAGTTTTTAAAACGTATTTAAAAAAAAAAAAAAATTCTTATCAGTCTTTTTCAGTACCGTATTGCATCTTGGAAAAAAATAATAATAATAAATAAATAAATAAAAATTCATTTATTAAAAAGCCAACATTTTGAGGGTGTACAATATTTTCACGACTCACAAGTATCACACCAATACCTCCTTGCTTGACCGCTTCTACCGCAAAGTCGAATGAGTTTCACCTACTTCTTCAATTTAAATAAAAAATAAAAAATAAAAAATAAATAAATTATTTTATTTTAAGCTCCACCTTCTACAGCTATAGTCCAATAGAGTCCGAGTGACGGACATTCATTGTTTAAAACCTTCACAATGCAGTGGCTTCTGTCTTTCAAGCAAATCTCAAAAATTCCCAGAAATCTTTCCAATGGTAGTTCATCTTTCCAAACAGTTTGCTCAAACGACTTACTTTCTCTCTCTAAAACAAACCCGAATCACATTCATGGCCATACTTCTCTCAACCAACCGCATCATTTCTTCTCTAACTCTACTCCTTCACCGAACAAATTTTCACAGAAGATTTATGGGTCTCTCTCAAACCCTATACTGAGAAAGCAATCGTTGTCGAATATCGTTCTGAAGGCTCCAAGCAAAAACCTCGTAGATGGTGGAGTTGGGTTTCTCAGAGCTCAATTCTCCAGACAATTTTTCAATCTCAACTCGTTTCATGGAGCTCGGTTCCCCAGACCAAGTTTCAATTTCAACTCGTCTTATCTCCGTTACTGGTAATGTATTTTCTTTCAAATTTAGGCGTCTGTTTGGTTGCCCGGAAAATTTGAAACAATAACCACACTGAGTAATTGATATTTTCTGAATTTGTTATGGTTTTTTATTTTCGTGTTTGGTGTTTGGTGTTTGTAGCAGAATTTGAAGAATTGTTATAATCTAATTAGATTATTGGGTTGATTTGACCGATAACAATAACAATAACAAGACTGGTAGTGCATAAAAGTACTATACGTGTAATTTGGTGATTGGTTCACCGTACAAAAAAATATTCCCTTCAAGTTCTTCATGCCATTGGTATCGTCATTGGCCAATTCTCTCTCTATCTCTCTGTCATTAGTAAAACAACAAAATAACATAAATTAATAAATAAGAGTAAATTTTATCATAGTATTTTGTTAATAGCTTATATAACAGGTTTTGAATTCCAAAATGTTACAACGTAGTTGGATGTATATGTACATGGGTCTGTCATTTGTTTATCTTTTAGAAGAATTGTTAATGTGTAGGTGTTATGTGGTGATTTGGCTGACCATATGAAAATTTTCCTTCAGTTTGTTCATGCCATTGTTGTTTCATTTGGTACCAAACGCACTGGGCCCTTGGCCAATAGTCTCTCTCATTGTTATTAGCCAAAAAATAAAATAACATGTCATGGATAAAATATAAAAAAATGGGCAAATGCTATTAAAGTGTTTTGTTAATAGCTCATATAACAGATTTTTAATTCGAAAAGGGCATATCATTGGCTATATTTTTTTGTATTTCTCAATATCAATTAATGTGTTCATGGGTGATGGGCCTGCCATTTGTTTATTTTTCCAAGAAGGATTATTATTATTATTTTTTTTTTTTGTGGTGCATTTGTTTGAATTTCTGAGGATCAGTGAAGTAGGGATAGCATTTTCTTTTGGAAGTAATAACCAAATTCACATGCTTTCAAATTTCAGTAGCTAAACATGGAGGAAGTAATTTAGTGATTTTAGCTGAAAGTTCCAATGGAGATTATTGGTCAAAACTAGTTGACCAGAGGCTACAAGAATTGCTTAAATCTCTTATTTATTTTCCCCCATGGTTAGGCTGTTTTTGTATCATGTAATTCGGCAGCTAAGGACATGTCTAGGTGCACATTTTTTGACCTGTTTTTCTTTTATTTCAAAAGTAAATCTAGATGTCAGGAAAAGATTTTGGTACACATGAAGTCTTAAGAAAGGTATAATAAATATATATATATATATATATTTTTTTGATAAGTTAGAAAGGTATAATAAATATGAAGGCCAAAAGAAAAATATATATCAACAAAAAGAAACAACAACAACTAGACCTTTTCCCAATTACTTGGATTCGGCTACATGAATCCCATGTTTCCATTTTTGCTCTATTTAAGTCCATTGCCTTAGTCAATCCACATGCTATCTTATCTTTCTTTATTAACTCTACCCTCGTTAACTTTGGTCTTCTTCTTCCCCTAGTATTACCCTTAATGTGGACTATGTCATTTTTCCTAACTGACGCACTTGAAGGTCTTCTTTGTACATGCCCAAACCATCTTAACCTATTTTCTCTCATTTTATTTCCAATCGGTGCTACTCCAACCATCTCTCGAATGTCATTATTTCTAATTCTATCCTTTTACATCCATCTCAACATTCGCAATTCTGTCACACTCACTTTATGCAAATGTTGTTTCCTAGCTACCCTACTTTCGGTACCATAAAGTATGGCTTGTCTAATATCACCAAAAAGAGAGAGAAAAAAAGGGGTAAGTTTGGGGCTCAAGAGGCTACTAAAACCATGAAACGCTATTGGAATTCCATAATTGTGTAATGTATAAAGTGTTCTTCTATGTTAGGTATTTCACTGGTGGCTCAGGAACACAAACTACATTCGTGTAGGACTTAATGAAAGATAAAATATAATGGAAGCCTACATTATTGTTCACTATCAGAAAGGGTAGTAAAGGAAAAAAAAGGAAGATGGTTGGATTAGTTCCAATTAGTGAAATGCTCACCTCTTGGCAATCAAATAAAACATCTTTGTAAAAAAGAGAGTGAGTTAGGGAACAATAGTAGAACCCCTTGAAGTATCCCTAAGGAAAATATACTTTTTCTACCTATAAACATGGGAACATACATAGATGCATTTGCATTGTGTGCTCATAGGGGACTGAGAAATCTAATGCATGTGAACAACTCGTGGTAGTGGTTTTGCAGTGACATTCGTGGTGCATTTGTAGGTGGTTATGTGAAAAATGCTCATAAACAAATGAAGAGTATTTTTAGTGGGAATACCGGCCATTGGCCTATGTGGTATTAGCTTCCTCCAAAACAGGGGGGGGGGGGGGGGGGGGGGGGGGGTTGGTGAGAGGCTCAACCCCATCTAGTGCAGTGTCGCGTTTGTGGGTGTGTGCATATGTTGCTCACCTACCCAAAAATAAAATAAAATAAATAAAATATTTCTGATGTAGGGAAAAGAGCTATAGATGTAGTGGCATTCAGAATGAGGTGCTACTTCTTGGCCATTGGATCAGATGGATCCATAAATGATGAGGTCTATTGTGGACTCAGAAGTGTAGATGGTGAGGGCAGGCAACAGTGATGAAATTGGATGCTCCAATGTTAATAGTCTAGCCTTCCCCCTTATTCACGTGTGTGTCAACTCAACAAAGGCTTTTCCATACTATTTTTAGGGACATGTGCACATGCACATCAAAAATAATTTTTTATCATTTTCTAATTTTTTAATGATATAATGTTGTCATTTGTTATGAATTATTGTGATAATTAACAACTCCATTTGATTGAATGGATCATGGTTCAATGTTGTTTTATACGGAGACACTAGCTCTTTCATTTTTAGAAGCTCAACGTTAAGAGAAATTATATGGGTAGTGGTTTCTTTTACAGAATTAAAAGAAGTTAAATGATAATAATACACATTTATAAAATTTAATTGAGAAAATACTTGGGTTTCTGTAAGGGTCATAGCTAGGTGAATCTTATTCTTTTACCTTCAACAATTTTTTTTTGTTAAAGCAATGCAAAACAGGAGATGGATGAGTGCATACTGTTTAACTTCTAAAATGCGACTCTATATGAAGAGTAGGACAATTATCATCATTTATGGTGGAGAAAATAGAATGTGTTGCAAACAAGGATCAACTTCTTGTGTTTTAATTCAACTAAAAGAAAAACTTCTTGTGTTTTAACCTTTTTTTTTTTCCTATTTCAATCTCACACCCCCACTTTGTCCCTATTAGGACTTGAACCTTTGACCTTCTAGTTTGGAAGGTGAGGCAATACCACTTGGCTACAGGCCTTGATGGTTCTTGTGTTCCAACTTTCAAGCACAAGATAGTGGGATTTACATGGAATCACTTCTTTTTGTCTTTTGTAGATTCAAATGCATTTTATATGTTCTCTTACTCATTTTTCTGTTACAGATACAAGGAGAAGGAATTATTGAGTAAAATATTTTGATTTGTCAAATGTAGTTTTCTGGCCTAAGTAAAGTTCGATTTGTAATCTGGATCTTCTGTCTAGACTTGAAGAATTATAAGTTGTCGCTAGTGAGCATGAACATGATTTAATACATTATCAAATTCCAAATTGAACTTGGAAGGCGTATTTTGTTTCGAACATGTTACATGGTCTTCCTCAAACTCTTTTCAATTATATGAGTAATTGATGCTACAGAGTGTTTTTAAATAAATTCATGGATTTGTTAGTCTTTTTCCAACTTATTAAAAGTTCTGCCGGCATCAGTAAAACATTAATCTTTCTTAAGTAATCATTTGTCATTAATTTGTTGATGCTAATTAGATTAGTTTTGACAAGGTAACAACAGGATCATCTTCTTTTGTTGTTAAATCTTGTGGTAGAGGAGGAACTGGCCTTCATCAAATCTTCTCTGCTTCTCCCTGAACTTAATTACACAATTTAAGTAGTACAATCTGAACTTTAACTTTCAAGAAGTTCCTGTAAAATGTTTAACAATTTTTCTTTTATGAATAACACTTTTATATGATTGAACAACTCTATTATCTAGCTATCTGCTATGTTCTTATCTTATCAGTCCTATAGGTGTTTGTTATCTTATGTTTAAATTTTCATTTTTCGATACCAAAGGCATAAGCAATAGGTTACTCCATGTTATTCAGAGAACTTGCATACTTCTGTTTTTACACAACTTCGAGCTAAAGACTGGTTAACTGTGTTCATTTATAATGCCCCTTCTCCAATTTGCAGGCATTCATGGCGCAGAAGGCTAACGCCTAATGGTGTGGTTTTGGGCTTGATTTTAACTAATGTAGCCGTTTTCATGTTATGGCGGATTGCAGGTCGTGAATTTATGATGAAGAACTTTACGGTGAGTCGTTCATGAAATCTTGTTCATTGTTACTAAATGAAGCCATCTGATGAAAGTCTTTAATCCAACAATATCTTCCTTTCTTTTCTTTTTTTTCCAGTTTTTACTTATTTATGTTGTGCTTTGAGCAGATTTCGGTAGAAAATTTTAAAAGAGGACGTGTGCACACGATGATAACTTCTGCATTCAGTCACGCGGATGCCGGGCATCTTATCTCTAACATGGTTGGACTATATTTTTTCGGGACAAGTGTATGTCTATGTGCCTTAAAATTTCTATTTCAGTTTTAACTTCTTGTATACATCTTACGTGCTGGTGCTTGTCGATCTAGTTCAGTTGGAGAATCAGGTTGTAGATTTTGCATTAGGAAGTGTTAGGTCAATAGGATTTAAGTTGGTTTTTGTAATAAAAAAGAAGAGTCTAATTTTGGTTCTGTTTCTAGTTAGATTTTAGTGTCAAGATAGTTACCTCTAGTCCAAGGGCAGAGTTAGAAGTAAAGTTACAACTAAGGGCAGAATGGTAATTTTTGAAGCCAAAAGTACAAAGGTAATTTGAAATATATTCACTCACCAATAAGGCTTGATGCATTCATCAATTAGGGTTTCATTAATTCTTGTTTTACTTTGGTAAAAACCTTTATGATATGCTATGAGAGTTTCTGAAAATTTCTGGTTCTAAAATATTCTGGCTATAAATTGTACAGGGACACATGTACTATTCAGAGAAGCAATTTCTTTTTCTATCTAAAGCTATACAACTCTAATCCTTTTGCTTCTCTAATTTGTATATGAAGTACTCACCTACTTCAGAAAACCTATATACATAAAGAATATGATAGAGAACAATATTTTGTGAGGCTATTTTGAGTGCATATAATTTTATTTTTCTTTGTTCAGATGTTCTGCATACAGATTGGTGTGGTGAGTGATCACACAGTTAACAATTCCGAGAGAGGGGGGGGGGGGGGGGGGGGGGGAGGATGGGTTGGTGGTGTTGGAGTGATCATGCATGTGTTGACGATCTATTGTTACTGAGCTAAATTGGATTTGAATGTAATTACTCTACTTCTCAAAGATGGTTTAAGCGACTAGCCTAGAGATTGAAGTACTTGAGAAGCATATTGCGAAATCTGTTAACGGAGCAGACTTTGTGCTAATCCATGATTAATTTTTATATCGGATTCTCAACATATATATGAGGTCAAAAAAGCTTTAGTAAAAGTTTAATTATTTTCAGTTAGTGGTAGATCCCATGAGGCTTACACACACACATGAAGCTATGCTTTTATGCACACAAGTCTGAAATGCGAATTGAAATATGTGTGAAGACTAGCTCATTAAGTTGAGATTTTATGAGTATATTTTATGAAAAAAAAATATCATGTGAAAAAACAGATTACTTAATATGTAAGTGACTGTTATGGTCATGGAAAGGGCTACCTATGGGATGTGCCCAAAGATACTAAGAAAATAGTGTAAAATGGATTATCAATAAATATAAGAATTGTTTTATGAAATAGTTGGCTGGCCCATTAATGTGAAAGCTGCCATGAAAAGAAGAATAGAAAATATAGAATTAGTATATTCATGAATGCTTTTGTGGGAGGTCGGCAGATCTTGGACTCTGTTCTTATTGCTAGTGAATGTGTTGATTCCCGTTTGAGCAGCGGTATTCCGGGTGTTCTTTGTAAGCTAGATATTGAAAAGGCATACGATCATGTGAGCTGGAGTTTCCTTCTCTACTTGTTAGAGAGGATGGGATTCGGTGGGCGGTGGAGGAGATGGATTCTTTTTTGCATCTCTAGCGCTTGTGAATGGAGCGCCGACGGGTTTCTTCTCTAGCTCGAGGGGTTTGAGACAAGGGGATCCGCTTTCCCCTTTCCTGTTCCTTTTTTGTGATGGAGGCTCTTAGCAGATTGATAAAGAGGGCTGTGGAGCAGGGTTTTTTGAGAGGCTTTCGGGTGGGCAGGGATGTTGCTAGTCAATTGGAGGTTTCTCATTTGATGTTTGCAGATGACACTATTGTGTTTTGTGATGCGGATGCGTCCCAGCTGAGGTATTTAAGATGCGTTCTGATTTGGTTTCAAGTTGTTTCTGGCCTTAAGGTTAATGTTGGAAAAAGTATTCTTGTGCCTGTTGGGGATGTTCCGGAGATTGAGTTGTTTGCTCACATCCTTGGATGTTGCACTGGCTCTTTTCCCATTTCTTATTTAGGATTGCCTTTGGGTGCCCCTTCGAGATGTGTGGGGAGCTGGGATCCGGTTGTGGACAGAGTCGAGAGGAGGTTGGCGGGTTGGAAAAAGCAGTACCTGTCCAAGGGGGGTCGGGTTACCCTGATTAAGAGCACCCTTTCTAGCTGTTAGAATGTATATTCTTTGTAGTGTTGGGTCATTATGTAATACCCATAGTAGTTAGGGTTATTGTGTAATTATGTAATTAGGGTCTCTAACCCTTTTCTTATATAAGCCTTATTTAGAGGGCTTAAGAGAGACAATACAGTAGATACATTTTCTCTCAATCTCTCTCTCTTTCTCTCCCTATCTCTCATGAATCTGAACATGGTATCAGAGTGGTATAAATTCATAGGTGTGAGAAACAATAAGTGTGTTGCCCTTGTATGAGAGCAACTGGAATCGTGAGTATATCGTCGGTGTCTTTGTCGGAAGTTCGTGTCGCCGGTAGGTTGAGAACATCGTCCTTAGTCGCCGTCAGATCTGAAGCCCATCGTCGTCGTCGTCGTCAGATCTACAGCCTCCTTCGTCGCCGTCAGATCTGAAGCCCCTTGGCCGCTTGTGTTGTTGCCGCGTCGATCGTCAGCAAGCTCGCCGACATCCACCGTCGTTGTTGGCAGAGGTGAAGCTTCATCGATTCGCCTCTTTTTTTTCTTGGTCGGAAGTTGCGGAGGTTGTGTGGTGTCGCCACTGTGTGCTTGCCGGAGTCTGTTAGTGGGTTGTGAAGGAGAACAGCCCTGTCTGGTGGCGCAGCTACACTATTCCAATCCTGGTTTACTAAAACCGGGATAACAGAGACTTGTTTTGATCCAATCCAGTTACCCAGATCCGATCCGGTTTCAAATCCGACCCAGGTTCGACCCAGTTCTGGCTCCGACCCAGATCCGACCCGGTTCAAGCTCCTATCCAAATCCGACCCGGTTCCGATTCTGCATTTTTCCCAGGTTCTTTTTTTTTTAATCTTCTCCGTGGCTTCCAGTTCCGATCTCCTATCTCCTGCATCCTTTAATCCTCCCATGACTTCAGTCAAGCTTAATGGAAAAAATTACATTTTATGGGCCAAGTTAGTGGCCATTTTCCTGAAAGCCAAAGGCTTTGGCGATCATTTGGTTCAAGATAAACCCAAGAGTAGTGATGCTAATTTTAGTTCATGGGAACAAAGAGATGTTCAGATCATCTCCTTAATGCTGAATTGTATTGAACCTCATATTAGCTCCAACCTATTATATCTGGACACTGCCAAGGAGATATGGACCCGACTCCAACAGTTATATTTTGGTGCTGGTAATATAACCAGAGTTTATGAGGTGTGTAGACAATTTTTTGATCTCCAGCAAGGGACTCACAGTTTAGAAGAATACCTCTCACGAGCAATGAGACTGTGTGAAGAAATGAATATGTATCAACCCATCACCTCTGATGTGAAAAGCATGCAGCAGCAACGTGAGGATTTTAATGTTGTTCGGGTTCTCACAGGATTGTCACAAGAGTATGAACTTGTTCGTGCACAGATTTTGAGTAGCTCTACATTTCCCTCTCTACCTGATATGTTATCCAGACTCCAGCGTGCCACTTTATCTAGTGGCTCTTCAGGCAGTACTTCCAGTGGTGTCACTGCTCCTTCTAACAGTGAACGTTCTGCCTTAGTTGTGAACCAGGGTGGCTTTCAGTCTTCTCGTGGAGGTGGTGGTGGTGGTCGTTTCGGCCGTGGCCGTGTCCGAGGCAAAGGCAGAGACTCCAAAATTTGCACTCATTGCAGTCTTACCAATCACACGGTCAATTACTGTTGGGATCTTCACGGGAAACCGCCATCTTCTTCCAATGCACATCAAGTGACTGCTAGTGATGGGGATTCTTCTCTCTCTGCCACATCCACTGCTCCATATGTGGCTGTTGAGACTGCTATGGTCACGATTCCCCGTAATGAGTATGCTCAATTTCTGTCTCAACAATGGACTTCCACCTCATCTTCCATGGGGTCCTTGGCTCAATCAGGTAGTGCCCCTGCATGTCTTTTATCCTCTAGTCAGAGTCCCTGGATTCTTGACTCTGGCGCATCCGATCACATGACTGGTAGTTCTCATCTCCTATCTGATTTTCAGTCTGTTCCTTCCTCTCAAAGTGTTACTCTTGTTAATGGATCATCAACTAAAGTCTTGGGTTTGGGAACTGTTCCTCTTACCCTTTCTATGTCCCTTTCTTCTGTGTTATATGTTCCTCAATTCCCTTTTAATTTGTTGTCCATTAACAAAATTACTAAATCTCTTAACTGTTCTGTAACATTTTATCCCACATGTTGTCTTTTTCAGGATCTCAAGATGAAGAAGAGGATTGGTATGGGACATGAAGTAGGTGGCTTGTATTACTTCGATCTTGCACCATCTCCCACGGCTCTTCAATCATCTTTGTCTTCTTTCCAGTGGCACTGTCGTCTCGGCCATCCCTCGCTATCAGTTCTGCAGCGTCAAGTTCCCGGTCTTAAGTCATGTTAAGTCTCTGTCTTGTGAAACATGTCAACTTAGTAAGCATTGTCGTGTATCTTTTAAGTCAAGAGCTAATAATCGTGTGGCTAGTCCTTTCCAATTAGTTCATTCAGATGTATGGGGACCAATAAAACATATTTCTATTAATGGATTTCGTTATTTTGTGACTTTTGTGGATGATCATTCTCGGATAACTTGGTTGTTTTTAATGAAAAATCGTTCTGAGTTGTTTTCTATTTTTCAAATATTTCGCAAAGAAATCAAAACTCAATTTGGGTGTTCCATTAAAGTTTTACGTTCTGACAATGCCAAAGAATATTTCTTGGACCCTTTTGAGACGTATTTTCATGCCAAAGGCATCATTCATCAATCCTCTTGTACTTATACTCCGCAACAAAACGGAGTAGCTGAGCGTAAAAATCGCCATCTTCTGGAAGTCTGTCGTGCCCTTTTATTTTATATGCATGTTCCCAAACGTTTTTGGAGTGATGCTGTTCTTACGGCATGTCATCTTATTAATAGGATGCCCTCATCAGTG